GGCTTGAAATGCCAGCGTAGTATGTGTGAAAATATGCATTTTCCCGTTGTCAACATGCAGAGCTTGGACGAGGTCTAAAACCCCTGCTAGTTAATTATTATGATTATATTTCATATCGTAAAAATTTGTATTTACGAATTGGAGTCCATAAATAAAAAACGATCATGAGGTTCTACCTCCCTGAACGAACAAACATGGAAATATGTAGTTTCACTTCCTCTAATAATATACTTCGACCTCTCCTTCCTTCTTCCTAGCTCGTGCATTATATACAAGTAATCAAACATTATATCATCCAATATTTACAATGACAATGTGAATAGCCTAGTTTATGATTATATTTCATATCGTAAAAATTTGAATTTACGAATTGGCGTCCATAAATAATGAGGTGTACATGCATGCAGAAATGCATAAACCAATTTTAATTAACCTCCCTGAACAAACAAGGAAGTAGTTTCACTTCCTCCAAAAACATTCAATTTTCAACCTCTTGTCCCTTGCTCTTCCTCATGCATTTATACAGTAATCCAAAATCATATAATCCAATATCTTCAATGTAAATAGTCGTAATTTATTCACGTAAGTTAATTAATTAATTTCATACCCTATATACAATCCCCTTGTCTTTATAAAATTTAATTGTGGGGTGAGCTTGGGACATTCATTTCTTTAATATGTTACGGCATAATATAAATTTTATTTGACATGTGCTTGGGTTTGATTGGTGAATATTTACGAGTTGGCGTCCATAAATAATGAGGTGTACAGAAATGCATGAACCAATTTTAACCTCCCTGAACAAACAAGGAAGTAGTTTCACTTCTTCCAAAAACATTCAATTTTCGACCTCTTGTCCCTTGCTCTTCCTCATGCATTTATATAAGTAATCCAAAATCATATAATCCAATATCGCCAATGTAAATAGTCGTAATTTATTCGCATAAGTTAAATAATTTCATACCCTACAACCCCTTGCCTTTATAAAATTTAATTGTGGGATGAGCTTGGGACATTCATTTTTATAATATGTTACGGCATAATATAAATTTTATTTGACATGTGCTTGGGTTTGATTGGTGAATCATATATAGCTGGCTACTTACTTCCTCAACATTCAAACTTCCTCAACATTCATTATTGGACCTCATAAGTGAGGTGTGTGTTTTTCTATAGTGGTTCTGAATGGCGCGGAACATTTGCATTTTCAATTATATTTACACCATACTTTATGGCAGAATCTTGTTCAACATATATATTAGTATAAGTGCATGATAGCGGCATATTGTAATATATAAATCTATAGTGTTTGTTTACGTTTACGCTCGCGTTCCTGAGTCTCAGGCCTCGAAGCAAATTATAAAACACGACGGAAATAACTGCCATGTTTAAGAGGTCTATTGAACTAAATAAAAAAGGTTCCGGAACTTATGAACTAACTTTTCTCTTCTTTTCAAATCCGTAAAGATCCCAAAAATGATGGACCTCATAAGTGAGGTGTGTGTTTTTCTATAGTGGTTCTGAATGGCGCGGAACATTTGCATTTTCAATTATATTTACACCATACTTTATGGCAGAATCTTGTTCAACATATATATTAGTATAAGTGCATGATAGCGGCATATTGTAATATATAAATCTATAGTGTTTGTTTACGTTTACGCTCGCGTTCCTGAGTCTCAGGCCTCGAAGCAAATTATAAAACACGACGGAAATAACTGCCATGTTTAAGAGGTCTATTGAACTAAATAAAAAAGGTTCCGGAACTTATGAACTAACTTTTCTCTTCTTTTCAAATCCGTAAAGATCCCAAAAGTGATGCAGGCACTTTACTCTTTAGCTATAAGTAACGATAAGATTTTCTTGGTGAGTGAATTTAATCTTATTTTAAATAAACGGTTATTTCTGTCAAGTATAAATTTACTTGCTTTTTCATTTCAAGTGCCAAGGTTTTCTTGGTAAGTGAATGTGTGTCTGTTTTCAAGTAAATTATTATTCTTGGTAAAAATTACTTGATTTTTCATTTCAAATCCCAAGTTGTTTCTTGGTTGGTGAATTTATGCTTGTTTTAAGTAAATTATATTTTTGGCAAGTTGAAGATTATCAAGTCTTTTCTTTGCAAGTACATAATGAACTTGTTTGAAGTAAAACCTTTTGCTTGGTAAGACAAAGTTTGCTTGATATCTTAGCTTATTTCAAGCAATGCCTTACTTAATTGAAACAAGAAACTGATTTGTTCTTGCTAAGAATTTTGGATTTTGCTGTGTATGAATGAAACTGAAAACATGAACATCAACTCGGTTACTTAGTGAACATCGTCGATACAGTCATATCATAAACATCAAAACAGTCATTCCGCATACATTGATATTGCCCAATTTTTACATTCATTTTGCACATTTTTGAGAAACATGTATGTTGGGAAAAGTAGATTTAGGAACACTTATTTTCAACATGCACATGCAGTGAAGACAAAATGTAGGTGACCAGAATAATTCGTATATCAGGGTAAGGGATTTTTACAGAAAAATTTAGAACTGCACACACAGGGATGTTACGAAGCATCAGGTGTTTAGAGGGGGGTCAAATGATTTTTTAAGCCCGAGACGTCGTTAGAGTAATACATTGAGTATGACCTATGACAATTTCAAATTGAGTAGCCTATACAATAACTTCTATAATTTGATATATTGTAAATAGCAATTTATTTATAAACCTTTGTAATTGCATGTCATACTATATTTATTACTTGGAAGATGTCTTGCGCTAAAGAGTAAAGACCGCAAAACATTAGCTAGTATCCGAGTTATTTCAAAAGCATCGATCACATATAAAGTCGGAATGTATATATATATATATATATATATATATATATACACTGTCTGAAGTCACTCAGAAATGTTAAGGTTGCTATGAATATATATAGTGATATCGATAATCTGAATATTTCAATTCCCACTAAAAAAGCAAACATGCAGTGTGCCTTTAGCAAATGAATGTGAATACGGCAAATGTCAAATTAACCACTTTATGATCTTGACACTGGTTTGATATTTGTTTGTAATCAGGGGGGATAACAACTTTTATATGCCATATGGCCACACGGAAGCATTTTCCCTTGCGATAGTAACGTCTAGTTCATCTAGTTAATGGTCATTTGTCTAAAGCCTGGTCTTAATAATTCCTGTCACTTCCTGTTATAACTGAATCTTCTGGACGATTCACAAGATTTATAATACCATGACTGCGAATAACATTTAGTATTCTATCCGTAATTTGACACATTTTTTAACATGTAATGTACCTAATTTGTTGCTCTGAAAATGTAGACATTGCTTTCGCAGCAAGGGAATACGCCCTATTAATAAAACAACTTATTATGAAGTGAATATATCAGGTACTTATAATAAATTCAAGCCCATTAGATTTCTGCGGTGCTTGTTATAAAAGTATTACCTTAACGACTCAAGAGGCTTCTTATAACTATACTATAGGAAAACGTCAACCTTGACCGAACGGGCCAATTAATATATTTGATCGAGCAGTTTTTAAAGAGCTTGATAATTAGTAAATGTCTACTGAGACACCGAGTTCACAGGATTCATGAACAACATAAATAACATGAAGTACTTATCAGGTGAATTATATGATGCTACTCATTAGACATTAATTTAAAGAGTCAAGTATATACGAACAAGTGTTTATCTACATTAGTTTCATCTTGCAAATTTTACGTAAGAAAGCTATAGACAGATCAATATTTGGCAGTTTGTTTGACGATAATGCCCACTTTATTATGTTTGCGGAAGGGAGGAGTGTGGTGGGCAAACTTATCAAAACAAGTATACGCATGTCCGTAGCTCTCAAACCTTTGACGTCCATGCTGAATAAGGTGAAGCCAGGATGTTTTTCACTTCTAACACACTTCACATGCAAATTAATAGGAGGTTAAGTGGAGATACCTGCCAACGGGTTTTCGCATAGGAACTTGCTACAAAAATGTTTGCAAGAATTCCAGAGGCTTCAAAAGAAAACTTCCTATTGTCCTTGACATACTCATGAAAAACTGAAAGGATCTGACCAGCACAACCGCCGATTTGAATCTTAAAATTCATAGTTTCCTTTCGAATCAATATGGTATGATTCACAGTGAGGTTTGGGACATATGCATGCATGATACTGCTATTTAAATTAGTTACATACATACCTATTTAAAGCCGTCATTTTGATCTTGCAAACAAGTTCAATGTATGATTATTAACTAAAATCATGCAATCTCTAGAATGTTGCCTTTTACAAAACTATTATCTGCAACTGCTGGGTGATACGTTTTTGAAACTTAACTATCGTCTATCGTTCAACTGTATGAAGGAAGTTGCGATGAAAGCAGTCAATATTGGCGTTGAGAACTTGTCACTCTTGTCACTATAGGCAGGTCCCCACTGCTTGGCTAAACTTGACATGCTGGCTTGTTCCGCGTTAAACATTAAAGTGTTCTGTACTTTTCTTTCTCCAAGCGCCTGAGACTAGATCCTGCATGAGACTGACTATAGATTATATACATGATAATACTGCCGGGAAAAATACATCGATGCTAGGTTTCAGGTAACAACGTCAACTTAAGCGGAGCTTGTGGGGCGTCTTTCAATTCACAAAAGAATATGATGTGTGAAACAAAATCAATGACCACGTGTTGTGCACATTAATGCATGAGTAATGACCACGAGTAATATTTGCCAAGATTGTTACGGTTATGATTTGAAATATTCAAACAAATACAATCCATAAATAAGGATGATGCTACTACTTCAGTTTTATTAAAGAGTGAAGTCCTGGTCTTTGAGACTCAAAATAGAAACAAAAAAAGACAAAGATGCATTCGGCAAAATAACAAACATAAGAAGTTCTATATATGCCCACCATTATAGGCATTATTATCTCAAGTGTTTGTGTCATTTTATATATACGTTTATGCGCTAACGTGATTAATTATATTGTCTTCCAAAGTCATTAGATCTTTTATTCAGTGCCAAATTTACAAAATTTACAGTCTTTGATTTTATCGATTTTTCAGAGATTCGCTCTTATTTGCTCTTGTTGGAAACGGTATCTTGACTGTTTTTTCCTCACAGATTGGTCCCTAACCCTAACCCTAACCCTAGAGGTTTACATAGCCAATCAGAATTAGCCAAATTGGGCTAAACTCAAAGCCAGACTTGCATGCAGTGTAAATACGACCTTGAAACTTTCAATTTCCATGGCTATACCAATTTCCTACCCAGACCTATAACCTCCATACAAACTTGAGTTAATAAAAAGACATGGCGTAGATATAACAGTAAAGTGGCATTTCTTAATGGCACATGACTGTTATTTTTAATCTTGCGACGCTGTAAAAACCTCACTATATATAGTCTATATTTAATGAGATGTGCAATTTTCAAGACCATAAATAATATCTAAACATATATGTTCCATTATATAATTAATATTCTAACCAGTTCTAACCCTAAGTATATTTCCGTAATATTTACAAATAATAAAATATATGACGTTTCAACAATTTGTCTCTTATATAATCTTCTCGTCTTTTATGAATATATTATTATTACTACAATTCATCACCTTATACCTGCGTAATACAAACATTTCTTAAAATAATGCTTATAGAATCTAATGGTGTTGTATATGACAGAACGTTCGAAATGTTTGAAGGTATACACGAGTAAACCCTATGTTAAACGTTATCATTATAGACGTTGGATTGCACACAAGACAATCAGGTCCTGGTGCAGGGTGAAATGACTAACTGGAACTTAAATTGGTTGATATTGCGTAATCGTGATCGAATTACTGTCATTTCAAATAATGCAAAAAGGCACAAACAAGTTCTGTTATATTTTACAATTTAAGGTTTACTGTAATTGTTCATCAGGACGTTAGAATGGTAAACTGTGCGAGGTGTATATAGGTGAACATAAAGTGTATATGTGGCTTGATATATCAGTTGTGTATGTGACGTATCTACTGTTCCACCCTTAGTAAACTGAGCTGAATCTAGATATTAGAATGGGGGTACATATCTAGCGAAACCTACGGCGCCGAGAAGAGCCATTGGGCAACTTCCTCACAGCAAATATTTGCTGATCCCTGCCCACCATGTTTGTTGCCACACATCGGTAGAACCCAGGTCCAAATGGCGGTGCAACGACAAACTGTTCCTTTTCCTTTAGACCATTATCAAATTTCTTCCACTCGCCACTCGGCCTGCATGCAAATGTGTTCTTCAGACAGTTGGAAGACTGAAACTCCCAGGTTATCTCAGGTTTTGGATCACCGCTGATTAGATTACACTGCAGTATAGCTGCTGGCTTTCGTGTGTATTGGACTGGTACAACTTTGTTATGGTTTGTATCGGAACGTTTGGACAAAACTGGCTTGCCTGTAAAGAGATAAATCAGTCAACATCTATAAATACTAAATAAGAGAGAAGTAGCAAAATGCAATATTTGTCTTCAAATCTTAAAGTATCTCTATTGCATATTAGTGTAACATTCATATCGGTAGTATAGCATCCCCCAAGGAAAATGTAAAGTAAGACCTTTCCGGTTTCCCCAGCCACCTGGTTCATCAATGCCCGGATATTTAGCAGCGTGCTAACTCATAAAGTGCCTCTCGCGTCATCATCCACAAATGCACACATAGGCGTACGGGAAGGAAAAATTAGGGGGGGCAGAAAGAAATTTGCCCGACTTTTTCGGATTGTGCCCGACAAGTGCCGAAAAAATCCCCCCCCCCCGTCGTCAAAAAAATTTCGGTCAGTGTACCATTTTAGGGGGCCAAAAATTTTTCGGACATACCAAAATTTTTCGGAAAATCAAACAAATTTTCTCAAAAATCAAAAATTTAACATAATTTCCCACAAAATTTACAGAATTTGTCCCATTTATTTTTATAATAACCAAATATTGCCCGACTGTGAAGCGAATATTGCCCAACTGGCTTTGTTTGCCCAACAAACTGCGGTTATTATTAAGAGAGATTTTCTTGTTTTGATTACTTTTTGCCCGACTTTTGCCCGACTTTTGTTGAACATTTGCCCGACTTTTTGACTTTGTAATCTTGTTGGGGCAGCTGCCCCCACAATCAAGGATACTAAAAAGACCACTACGACGAGAAATTTTATGCAAATTTCCTCATATGACTATGGGTAAAACAAATACAGTTAGTGAACGCATACTTACTGAAAATAGTCATTCTCGCTGACGAACTAAATTTTCCCATAAAATTCTCAACTTCACAAGTGTATTTTCCGTTGTTTCTTGTGTACGATAACTGATACAGTGTTATGGAGTTCTTCTTGAAGTCACTCTTAATTTTCGTAAAGGATTGGCATTTTCGTGAATTCCCGCCCTCACAAATACCCAAAAGTTCGTCGTCTTTGTACTATGGGATTTTAGCAAATACTCTAGTGGAACGCATACTTACTGAAAATAGTCATTCTCGCTGACGAACTAAATTTTCCCATAAAATTCTCAACTTCACAAGTGTATTTTCCGTTGTTTCTTGTGTACGATAACTGATACAGTGTTATGGAGTTCTTCTTGAAGTCACTCTTAATTTTCGTAAAGGATTGGCATTTTCGTGAATTCCCGCCCTCACAAATACCCAAAAGTTCGTCGTCTTTGTACCACGTGATTTTAGGTCTGGGACTTCCCTTAGTTTTGCATTTTAACGTGATAGTGATACCTTCACTTGCTATCACCACCGGTGGAAAGTTACGTATACTTGGCTTTTTGGGATCTGTTAAATGAAAGGATAAAATTATGTCATTTTTATTTGATCATTTTTAATAAGAAAAAGGAATGAAATTCATGTGTTTTCTTTTCAAACGCATGCCATAATCTGCAATTTGCATGCAGGGAATAATATATTTCCTATGGAACTCTCTATTTGTCGTCAATTGTGTTCGGACTGATGTCATTTTCCGATTGAAATTCAATGAGTATATCCCACAGCAGCTCTGTTTATATACAGAATCACCATGTAATAGGATGAAAATATAACCATTTAAGTTTGTGTCTTGTTTCCATATCCTGTTTTCATTTTTCAGCTTTTGTTTTATACTTTATTTCCTTAAGTTGTCGGCTGGTTCTAGTTTTAAACAATGGTCCTAGTATATATTAGCGAATTCTTGACTAGCTCTCCTTTGGACGTTTCTCCTTGTAATTGTATTACTACATTTTAATTCACCTCTTACGCTGATCACAACGAATTCCTCACGTTTCTGATTATTTGATTTGGCAACACATTTGTATCTCCCAGCATGCTTCTTGGTTGCGTCTTTGATTGACAAGATAAGTCTGCTGTGGTATATCCGGGATCCACCATCTGTATCATAATGATCATCATTTATTAAATCCTTCTTATCCACAGCTGTCATTTGTTCACCTAAACCAATTTTGTACCACTTGAGTTTTCTCTTGCCCAAAGCACTGCAACTTATGTTTGCATTATCTTCATATTGTAACGACAGACTTGGTGGTTTGACTTCTACCTTGAGTTTATCTGTTAATAAAAATGGCAACTTCATAAAGTGGAAGCCAACCTTGTTACAACGTGCTACAAGCTTGTTGCGAGCACACCTGATGGTGTAAATATAACGGGGAAAATTATGACGCCCTGCAACTGTCAAGATGAATATTATAAAGTGACGTCCTACGTACAGTTATGGTATGAAAAGGATATTATTTTAGATAAATAAGCGATTTAGGACGAGATATTAGGTTAATATATCGATAAAATAAAACGAATGTTGTAAGTATATAAGGCTGATAACACTTCCTTGCATCCTGGTGTAAGGAACATTATCCAATAAATATTTTTGATTTCACATTGTTTTATTAGACAAGTAAAATACCGATAAATATGCAAGCAGTCACAGGGAAAATATCTAAACGCAAGCCTGGGCAATATTAAGCAGGTCTTCTTATATGCTGTTCAAATCCTAAGAGATTCGTTACGCAGGCGGCTCATATGCATGGTCAACGGTTATTCCCGATTCCTATAGCGCGAAATTATTTGTCGTTGAGTGAGAGAATGCGCCTCACAGAAGAGTAGTACCGAGAGACTGTCTTCTTTACAAAGCAACTCGCTCGAGGCAGACATGTACTACTCTGTATGCATGTGACTTTTCTTGAAAGTTGAAATATTTAAGCGCGAACTGCGTGCGCGATCAGAGTTTCTTTTCTAACTAAAGTACCCTTCTTTCTTAAAAGATGGTTTTCTGTAATCACAGTACGAATTTTGCATAGGTAAATTTTAAGTTTTGAAAGATTTGTAAGAAATGTTTGGGAAAACTAACTAAACAGTCAGTTACGATCTTCACTTACCATTTGTCGGTGCAGCTATCGGAATGACTGTTAGTTCCTTCGTAATTCTCTCATGCCCAGTTATATTGATTGCTTTACATATATATTCTCCACCATCTAATGGTTGTGTTACTGTCATGGTAAAAACGCCTTTCCTCTGTCTCCATTTCACATTGTCAATGACAACTTTGGTGGGTTGTGTGCTGAATCGTTTAAGATACAACGTCACATTAACATCAGATTCGCTCAGAGAACAATCGATTTGAACGGAATGACCGTATGATACGAACAGATATCTTTGTTTAGGGGTTTGTTTGTTTCCTAAAATGTACAAAAAATGTGGTTTCTATCAAGCTATTTTTACACACCAACTTAAGGCCGATTTACAATACATAACTTATGCCTAAAACTGTCGCATGCAACCCCTGCTTACAACTCGAGTTGTACTGTGTAAGTCAAGCACTGAGTTATGTGCTTGATGTACACGGAATACTACACAGAAGTCCACGCAATATTCGTCATACTGACGGAGAAGTCCATATCAAATTTGAAGCTATTGTATTTTTAGAGAAGTTTCAAGACTTTAGCTAAAAGGGAAATATTGAAAAATTACAAACATAATTACCGAAAATTTGCCGTTTTGCAGTTGTTTTTGTATTTTTTAAATATTTTTTCTTTTCCTGAAGTCTTGAAATTTCCACACCGAATAGCAATTTTCAATAGCTTCAATTTGATATATAGCCCAACGTTTGGGGTCAAGTATTTCTGCTCATAACTCAGAAAAACTATGTCGGCTTCATCAAATCATAGGCCTTCATCATAGCAGTTAGCCTTCCAGTTTATTTATAGTTCAATGGTTACATGTGACAGTTTTAGGCAAAAGTTGTGTAGTGTACATCGACCTTTACTTCATAATATTTTACCATCCCAATAAGTAGTATACATCGACCTTTACTTCATAATATTTTACCATCCCAATAAGTAGTATTGAGCATTTTGGAACATGGAACTTATTTTTATTATTATGAACATGGAAAATTTATTTTATCCAGCAAAATTGAAATAATTTTATTTGTTATTTTTATGTAAGGGTCGTGACTCGTCCAAATCCCAGTTCCCAACCTTATTTGCCCAGCCTATAAATTTCGGTCCAAATCCCAGTTATACGAAATCTAAAATCTCATCCATATAGTGGATATTAAAAAAAATTATGTATATAATGAATTAAAAACATTGTAAGAACGCGGTGGCTAGGCTTGCTCAAGAAGGCGAGATCTGGCGAAAAATGTGTTTCGATGTGTTTTTCTAAGGTCTACTATTACAGAATTTTATTATTTTTATTAAAAAAATAGGATTATTAATTAAAGGACTTTAAGCAGTTGTATCGAATAATAGAGTCGGAGGCCATTCAAGTAGAGAAATCTCATTCCCATTTCCAAATTTTTTTATCCCTTTCCCAGTGGTTAAATCCCAGTTCAGTAAATCTCACTTTCCCAGTCCAAAAAAGACAATTTCAAGTTCTCATTCTACCCTTTCAAGACCCTTTTATGTTGCAATTGAAATTATCTGAGCGCATGCAGCACAAAGTCAAATCAATAGCATTGAAATTAAAGAGTATTTGTATTAATACTACAGAGTAAATATGATTAGGACTTTAGGAGCATCGTAGAAATTGGCCTTCATTTTGCTCTCTATACAGTATATAGATACTCATATTTCAACGTTTTTCGCCCTCAAATTATTTCAAATCCGAGTGCGGCATTGCGGCGACTGTCTATAGTAAAAGGTTAAGATATGTTCGAAAATTTATAATAAAATTAATTTGTTAAAAGAAATCATTGAAAAGTAATCATCGAAACCATCTTTCTTAGGTTTAGGCACCTTTTTGAAATTAATCCCGTCATGATCCGATGGAACATCCTCAAAATCTCTCGAATGGATCAGTAGTTTAAGTCAGAGTGGGGCCGCCGCCTGCTGATAATTCTCCCAAATTTAATCCATCGTCATAAAACATATGTTTATATAATGTATTAATTATTTCAGGTTAGAAATTTTTATTTAGTCACATTTTAAACCAGTGTATCAGGTTGTTTGGTAATTCAATGAAGTGTGATCCATGACTCTGCTACCAAATAAATGTGGTAAATTAGTTACATTGAATGCATATATTGGGAGTTTCTAACAGATTTTATAAACATGCGCGTTGAACCATGCTGTGTCTGTGGACCCCCACCCCCACCCCTTGGACTGGAAAACCTGGTTACACCTTTGATGTGGATGACCACTGACTGTATTATATTACTTGATGGGAATCGCCAACTTCGTGGGAAATTGTTGTCGGAAGTGTTGAACGGACATGGTTTATTTTATCGCTGATTGAACTAATGAGTTGCATATAATGATATGCACAAATTATTGCCAACAGTTGTCAATTCCGCAACTCGCACACCACTGATGACTTAGTGATGAGTGGCATTCACATCACAAGTGAATGCCTGTCTTCAAAATTGATATTTCAGGGCTAACTGTTGTCAGAAACTCCTCGAGAAACTCTTTCATACCGTAAACTTTCGAAAACAGCATTCAATGTATTATCATATTGTGTTATCATTACCATGCGTCATAAAATGTCATTGGTACTCATTCATGTGCTTTTTTTCATTTAGTAGTTATCAGTTCATCTTCGAGATGACGTGTAACCTTGCATGCGGCTCGCCATCTCGTCTAAAACATCACGTTATTAAAGACAGAGAACTATGCGGAATATTAGAGGAAAAATAACCAATTAATTGTTCTATCAAATCAATTATGTAAACAAACTACACTCTTTAGTGATAATGAAAACATTCTTCACCTTGTTGGGAAATAAATTATTTCTTCCCTATGCAAACAAATAATTACTTCCCTATATAATAACTCCTCATTGGATACCGCAATGAAGGCATGAGTCAGACCTGATGTCTGCAGGTAATAAGTGAAGAAATGAATAAAGAACTGAAATGGCTGTAAAATGACACCGCAGTACATGATTAAAATAGTCACCTAAGTTAAGACGATAAAGGAATAAAATTAGACTAATGGATTTTTTCCGATGGCTAAATTTTAACCGATAAGGCCATCTGGCAATACGAAACTTCACCACGTGGAAACAATCGAAGCTGCTATAAACAATGCGAAGATAAGCTCAAATTTCTGTCAAGGTCGCAAAGAACATTTCTTATCTTTGTGGTCACAGGCAATGAATGCAAAGTTAGATCATGAGACATTGGAAATTCTGACGCCAACTACTTAATTTCTTTTCAAATCATTCCAAATGGTCTCCGGAAAACAATTATCGTGGCCATCTACATACTGGAGCGACGACAGCTGGTGGCCATTGAAATATTGTCACCTTTACATGCCAGAGACCACGTTGTTTTATTTCAAAACCTTTCCTTGATACGATCTTTAAAACGTTTTACAAATTTCAAGCATTGGTGGTTTACTGTTCTTAACTTTGCTAAAATAAACTCACGCCATAGTCACAGTCACAGTCACAGTCACAGTGAGCGATGTATCATATTGCGCAAATTATATATATTCTAAATTTATACGAGTACGAACTTAGATACTGGGACTAAATCAGTAAGCAAAATATGAAAGGGACAACACACACATTCAACTAGGTTTTCGCATTACTATAATACCCATGTTTACACAAAGAAAGATAACTATAGTAAGTTCGGCCGACTCTCCTTTGTTCGTCTCACTGCAGCTTTGCGCATTAAACTAAATCCCGTCATATTTCTGGCGCGCGACCAAAGCAAGTGTTTTACATGCGTTTCTAATGTTGTAGCGATGACGGAACGAGGCACGGCCATTTCTATTTCTCAACAATACAGAATAGAGCTTGAAATATACAACAGACGACGACAGAGTGACAGACATTATTATATATTCATCTATTCATGCGCAAACTGTGCAGAATACAGTATATGACATCAACATTAACAAAAGACGTGTATCACACACATTAGCAATGGTCATCCCTACCTCCACAACTGGCGGCGAGTATGAAAAGCATGCACAAAGCTTGAAGTACGGACGCCATGTTCAACGTTTTCCTCTTGTGTTGTTTCCTTGTCTCTACGTGCGCTATCATTTGTAAACTGAAACCTGCGTGCCAAGCTACGCATTTTAAATACACCCACTGGGATACAATGGATTGTGGGAAGGTCACACCCAGGAATTAGAAGCACGTGGATATTGCGTAGGAAAGAGGAATACACTAGAGAGCTTGTCACAATATTGATAAGTGATTATGATGATGGTGCATTAAGAATGATGACTTGACCATAGCGAACATAGGTAAGAACGAATGCCAAGACATGAAATTAATCTTTTATTGGTTACAATTAACCAAATTTCACCATTTATGGATCGTGTACATTAAAATCTATAGACAGTAGGATTAGAGCACTGGATTATGTTTTCATTAATTAATCCAATTAAAATACAGATTCAATCTCTTTTGATAATATTTGTTCAAAGCACGAAAATTCTCATTAATTAATTCACTACTCCAAAATTAGCAAGGGAGCCACTGTACAAAACATTGATACGAATTGACATCAATCAGTATATTACCCAGCCTCTTCACCACTCCACTCAAACCTTCACCACTTCACTCCTTCCAGTTCTGATGATCTTCGTCCAAACCTGTACAAAACCTTCCTCTTCCGAAACTCATACTTTAACAGTCAGAATTGTATTTTTATGGAATTTACCGTCACTCCTGTCAGATATCAAATCATCTTCGTCAGTCACCATACTTACTCATCTAAACTATATATATTTTACACTAACAAGCTGAACAGTATTTTTGATGATTTTTGACCGTCCTTGACCTTGAACATGGAAAACTGCATGTGTGCAGTAAATGTCGTTCTTTACAAATTGTAATCAGTACTTACAGATGTAATTATAATTGTAAAATGAATGACAATGTTTATGGATATAATATGTATTCTTGTAATACCTATAAGTAATTATGTAATGTAAGTTTTTGGTGGGACTTAATTAGAGACTCTTGTCCTGTTGTCCTTACCATCAGTCATTTGATTGTAAAGTTAAAAAGACAAAAATCAAATTTTGGACCAAAAATGAATTTATTAAAATTTCCTTCGGTCAAAGTTTCTGAAAGTTTCTTCTTTCTTGTACTTGGTATAAAGGGAATATCTAATGGAAGATTATATCAAAAAATTAGGGGGGGAGGTATAAATTCAGTTTTTGAGATATTACGCGAAAGTTGTTCCACAAAAATTGTTTTGTACAATTTTTTAAAAATTGAGTATAATAATGACTAGTACTTTTAAAATACAAAATTTCAGAAAAATTGACCGAAGGAAAATTTTTGCTGACGTGATAAAATTTCATCTCGACAAGACATGTCACCATACTTAATTAAACAACTGTTGAGGAAGCCACCTTTCGTATTTGACTAAATCAACTACATAATCCTACTTGTCTTTCAGCTTTAGGCTAAACCCATAGAACAAAAGACGGTAGTTAATAAAGGACAAAACTGAATATTTTCGCACACATTCGCGTTAATAAGTGATAGATGGTATATATTATAGGCTTGTATAACAGTGTGGTAAATCTTCTATTAATTCGTATTCCAAACATCCCTATAAATCCAAGTAATATCCCTATATAAAAGCTAATTTTCTACTCATTTTTCTAGATAACGTAAAGTATGTGGTTGTTGACAACTACCGAAATATCTAGACTCAAACGAGATTATACTGTGTTAATGCTGCACTTGAGTCGCTGAAAGTTCCGCGGTTCTCTTTGACGTCAGACCCTTGCGTATTAAGTAGCATTATAATATCAAGTAAATAAACTTACCCATCAAATATTACAAAAGAAACAATCAAGCAATTTCTAAATGATGTCAGACAAGCCTGCTGCAACAATCAACATCATTGATCAGGTCTCTTGAAATACGTGATCATTGTTAATTGGTCAGGTCTCTGCCTCCTCCACAGGCGTCTCTTGGTCTCTAAATACAGCGCGAACGCGAAAGGAAAGTAGATGAAAAGCCAAAGCAGATGGAAAAGCGGCGAGAGAATAATCTCGCGCGCCGCCTTTTCTTTTTTCTCGCGCGCCGCCTTCTTTTTTCTCGCGCGCCGCCTTTTCTTTTTTCTCGCGCGCCGCCTTTTCCTCCTCAGTATATTAAAGAGAGTATATTAAAGAGACGTCTGGGTACGAGGCAGGGTCAGGTCTATATATGGTCAATCAGGGCTGGTCAATATTAGTCAAGTAGTCACGTAGCTGCGGGGAGAATTTGTCTTCACGTCTCCATGGGCGTACCGGGCGGGCAGCCCCAGTTTGTTGGGCAGTCGGGCAATTTTGGTGTATTAAAAGAAATGGACAAATTTGTAAATTTTGTGGTCAATTTTGTGATTTTTCCAAAATTCCGGTTAGGTTCCGTGTTCTTATGGGGAGTCCGAAAAAATTTCATCTCTAAATGGCAAAGCACTGACCGAAATTTTTTATGACGGGGAGGTCACCAAAATAATTTCCGGGAAAAAAAATTTTAGTTGGGCAAAATCCGAAAAAGTCGGGCACACTTCTTTCCGCCCCCCTAAATTTTTCCTTCCGGTACGCCCATGCACGTCTCGTCTCAGGCGGCGTTTACACTATACCAGATAGCTTTTCATGGCGGCGCAAAAAAGCACCTATTCGATAAACAAATTTCAGAAGCTGAGCGAAACAACATCTCTCCGTTGGCGTTGCAATAATTCCTCTGAAAATAGCGTTCCTTAATTTAATTAGGTACGGATAGGTGTTTTTCAAGGCTACGTTCATTGTACTGGCCTGCACTCCCTAATTTTCGCTGCCTGTAGAAATACAGCCTGCCGCGCAGGCTACACTTGTACTGGCCGGATAGCTTTCCGGCAACCGTAGCAACATGAAAAAACACCTATCCGTACCTTTTAGGAACTCTATTTTCACAGAAATTATTGCAACGGGGAGATATTGTTTCGCTCAGCTTCTAAAAGTTCGGGCCGCTACGGAGGTCTATGATCTATCCGGTATAGCTGTAAACATAGCCCAAGTCGCTAGGCTGGAAAGCTATCCTATGCGGAGTAAACGTGGCCTCAGAATGCGAGAAATTCTGTTCAGCCTGTAATAGAAGAGACCCTATATGAATCAAAATTTCTAACAAAATTGGTGATTTATATCATACCAGCCGTATACCCTTGCGCACAAGAGTGTACCAATTATTCAGGGACCGCAAAGGTTGTGTCTAAACACGACATTGTGTGTTTAAAGCATGCGTTTTTGTGTTTGGTCGAGAATCAGTTCACTAAACTCTGAAGTAGTAAAGTAATCATAAAGTTACATGCTAGCTATATTGAGGGTTATCGGCAGACATATACCCACTGCTTAATTCCAGGTCATGCACGTCTATGCGCCATCCATAATATACATCAACATGCAAAGTTATACTTAACGCACCTGTTTTTTGTTAATTTTCATTTTTTTTATATCACATTCTATACGCGCATGCATGCAGAGACTCGTGTAGGGTGACAGTCATAACACGTCACTCCACAATTACACTGAAGCAGCCAGAACTGCTAAATAGTGACAAGTAAATGTAGCTATGTAGGCAAAAAAAGCGTACTTTATATGACATATTCATTTTTTCAGAGCAGAGCCGAAGCTTAACTTAATAGACTTACTACCGTTAGTACCGTTGTTTATAACCACCGATTTGTTTATAATTGTTCTTTTCTTCAGTCATGCATGTATGCATGAAATGATACTGTAATCATCAGCATGAATCTCTGCGACTTTCAATTACACTATAGACATGTGTTTTCAGAAATACGTCTGCCTATCATCGGGCGGTATACACACGATTAATTCCTAAGCAAAATTACAGTGGGAAATGCTGCGTGAAAATGCACTTCCATGCAGGCTCGTAATTTTTAAACTATTTTCTGGCATATGCCTATGGTAACCATTTCTCTGCAAGCCTGTTTATTGTGGTAGCCGCCATAAGCCATGCATGCAGCTTGCAATCTTGTCCAGGTTATACTCATACTCAACCTCGGTCGGCAACCTTGAAAACTAGTTTCATAAATCCTTACATTGAAAACGAAACCTATATTGAAACGATGTAATTTATGCAAACTGAAGAATCTTCAGGAAATTATTGTAAATTATTTCTCAAGATACTGCCGACTGCCGCAACCCAGTCGCGCAGCAGTTTTGATACGATTAAAGCTTTTAAATTTTAGTTTTTTGGAAAAGAAACATCCTCCCATGGTTTACAAAATTTGAGTTCGAGTACTCTTTTTCATTATTCTACATTATGGGTACTTAAGGAATGGCTATATATAAATTATAAAAAAAACTTAATTGATACCACGAGCTGTTTAATTGCGAAATTGAGAGCAGTTATTCCATAAAAAATACAATTCTATTAATTAAAAGTGAGAGGTTCTGAAGAGAGACGTTTTACACAGATTTGGAAGAAGGAAACCACCAGAACTGGGATGGGTTGATTGGTAGAGAGAATGGTCGAGGAACCTGCGTGCAGTCCCAGACCCCCAAAGGAAGGACTCCCTACTTCTTTTGGGAATCTGGGACTGCAAGCAGGCTAGTAGATGCCGGATTTGCACTATATTTTTTATTTCATGCCGGCCATTACGAGATAGGTTAGAACAGTTTTTTCAAACGATCAGGATACGGCTATTTATAGCCTTAATGGTTTTTTTTTTTATTCAGGAATACGACTACATTCGGAAATGGCGACATCTGATTGGTCCACGAAAAATCATGCCGAAATGGCTAATAATAGTTTGACATTTCAGCAGAAAAAGGTGCAGGCTTGGTTACTCTTGCCTTGCCCGCGAGCAGGGATGCCGGAAGATCGATAATAGCGGGTGCAGATATTCATATATTCGCGTTCTGCCCAATTAATTTCTTTTGAAATCGATTGTTTTTACAGTCTGTGAACACGAATATATGAATATCTGCACCCGCTATTATCGATCTTCCGGCATCCCTGCCCGCGAGCAGTTTTGACATTAATTAAATTAAACACGGCACGTTTTTTCAGGCGAGATCGGAAACATCCGCGGTTTTCGTAATAGA